TACAATATACTTTTGAGGTATTGATTTAGTTTCCATTGTTTTTTGTAAATGTATTCTTGCAAAACACATTTGATAATGTGTTATATAACATGAGACAATTCACATTTCTTCAAGTTGAAATTTGATTGCAGAAACCTCCTATGGTAAATTCCTTACAGTGAGGTTGCATCATCCATGTTATTCGCGAATCATATATGGCAGTGGATACTATGACTATAATAAGACACAACATCGCGAGTATTTTGTTGTTTTTGATTGTATCCTCAAGCAGTTAAATATGCATATATTGTGAAATTGACATAATTGAGATTAAATTCTCTAAAACTCACTGTTATATTTTTCTTTTAAGTAACGATATATCCTTTCACTACTAATTTCCTTTCAATATTAAATTTTTATTTTATTTTTTTAATTTCAAAGGCCCGAGCATTGCCCGGGTATTAACTAGTCTTAACGAAACAAGGAACAACCAAATTGCTTTCACACACAATACACACATTCACATAATTCATGAATACAATATTCTCCCTTCACTCTTCCTCACCACTCATCCACAATCGGTTGAGAGATTCTTCAAGTGAACGAGGCTGCACTTTAACTATTTGACAGCCCATATTATTGCATACATCAACTAATCTACGTGGCACATACTTCATAAATGACAACAGTATAAATGTCCAACAAAGTATACTTATTATAGGATGTTCATATCATAACATTTATATTTAGTAAAGATGTCCTCAAATCTATGTGAAGATGTAGACCTCAGCGTACCCTTTCCTGTAGACAAATACAAATACGTTGATAAAGTTAAAGGATTTATGAGAAGATGCGTTTATGTTTATAGCCCGAAAGAATACAGCGAGCTTACCCAGAATGAGTGGGGCTGTAATTGTATATGAGGTTGTCAAGCACTTTTGTAGTGGGTGGCCTATTCAGTGACTTCCTAGCCTCACTGCAGCAAGAGAAACATAAGCACTGAAAACAGGAAAAATAGATGTGTGACATTGATACTGATTGCTGAAGAATGGTTTGGCTGTGAAATCGTTTGTAATCATTTATCAGTCCTAGATAAGCATATCCAGATGGCAACATAAGTGGCAACATGGTTACCCAGATCTTTTTCACCTAGATGTATGTTAAATGCCAGACAGCCTTGGTACATATTATAGTTTCAATTCTCCATCAGCATGTATTGAAAGAAATCTACGGCAAAAACCAGAAATAAGCTTCTTGTTAACGAGACCTAACCTGATAAAAAAGTTCGCAACATTTTGGGTCACTTGAATTGCATCCTCGGAGTGTGGAATCACTGATGAGCCCGATCCAAAAGCATTTTGCTGCAATTTATTGTGTAAAAAAGCATTTTTAAATGAGTAACCCATAGAGTGTATTGCCATTGCTTCAGGCAATTAAGCAAAAATCCTAAGCAGACATGGGGAAGAAAGCAAGCAAAGGACAAACTTGCAAATACACACTCCTTAATCCAAAGAACAACTATCAAAGATGAACTGCAAAATGAAGGACACCTGCCAGACAAAAACAACATATGTGGATAACAACTGAAAATTTATGATAAAAATCATGGCCAGGGAACAACAGCTTGCCTTCTCATAGAGTTGATTACCATTGAGTCATCAGAAATTGTACTTGATTCTCTTACAATTATCAATAAATTCCTTACTCTCAAAGTAGCGAGTCACCTCCCAAAAGGAAGCATTGCAATTAAATCAGCCCCTTTGCTCTTATTCTTCATTGCACACTTAAGTTTAATTTAGCAACATCTATAGAACTATAACAACATTTACTGTACATCATAAAAGCAGATCTTGCTTTCCATGGTATATGTTGGAGCCAAAGCACCATCTTTTCTTCTTTTCAAGCTTTAAAATGAAAGAAATAAAGCACTTCATGGCAATTTTGACTAAGCTCATCACAAGAGAAGCTCCTTCACGGCCACGATTAAAATTTTGGTCATATGCAAATGATTCTTTTCCCTGATAAGATAATGATTGATACTAATAATTCTTCAAGATTCATTAGTAGATTTTAGAACAGACATTAATATTTTCTCCTTCAAAAAAAAGAACGCTAATATGTGAGGTATCTTGGCAAATAAACTATAAAAAGGAATTTGCCATTTATTTAGAAACCTTTGAATCAGTTCATCCTCGAAACTTTTCTTCTGGAACCACATACCCTGTGCTTGAATAATTATGATGCAATTTTCTTGCATAGAACAATAATGCAATTGCTCATAAAGAAAAGATCATTACTGCAAAGGAAGCGAGATATAATTTTTATTTTTTGGCCAACACATATAGAAATTGACGAGATGCCAAGATTCTACTCACTAAAGCACTGTTTGAGAACCAAGTCGAAGCAACATATGATTAGGAACACTAAAAAGAAAGTGATGCATGTTCTGAGGCAAAGATATGAAGATGATGGGAACCAGATCAAAACAAAGTACCTCTGGATGCCATTGGAAGGCAGTCACGGGATAGCTATGAGCTTGGACTGTAGAGACATAGACCTGGTAGTACAATTCCATATTAGGATCATTAGAATAATCAGTGAAATTTAGTAAAATGTGTTACACCATGTTAAACAAATTTGAAGCAGTAATGATTAATTCAGTACCTTATCATTTTCATCTGCACTTGTTGTCAAGATCTTGAAGAAACTAGATAGA